AATATTCCTTTGGACTTTGGAGTTAACATAGGTGCAAGAGTGTTTCTTATGTGTCCCTGTAGTTAGCTGTGCCTTCAATGTTGCGCTATAAGCAAGTTATGGGAGTAAAACATTCAGCAGAACGTCAGTCAGGGTATTAATTGGAGTTTCTTGCTTTAAAGTCTTGATTATACGACTTAATTCGAAATTATGAGGGTTGATTAGGGATCTATAGCCATATATTTTGACAGCGCGTCAATGGGAAACAAAATTTAATTCTTAATTTTTATTTTGTCGTCAAAGCACTTCTATATACAGAAACTTTCACAGATAAATATGCTCATTCAAATAGGTGCTTCTGGTAGTTGCGAATAGTCAAAAAGATCTACAGTTTTGCAATTCCGAAATTAATCATATTATTAAGTAACGTTATGTTTTCCGTCGAGGAGAATCGTTACAGTATGGGTTAGTCTAAGTTTCTAGTGACCATTAATGTTTGACAAAGGGCGATGCCGCCGGCCGAAAGTTCGCAAACTGTATACAGTGTAACTTCTTAGGCGCAAATTACAGCTCTTTTTTATACGTAACCATCGTGCACACTTGTCCCTATCCCTCAAAGTAGACGCCACAATTGCACGACTCGTGGAATTCCCCTCACGATAAGCTCACCTGTGTTCGATGTAAACAAACTCGGTCTCTAAGCAAATCCGTCTGATACTCTACATCGGTTAAACCCACTTTCCTAACATTATCGATACCTGCATCCTAACTTGTAATGAAATTCATAACTTAAATAATTTATTAATTCACCTTCAAATTACGTCCTAGCTGTTGTGGTCTACTCGACACAGATGTAGACTTTCAGTGTAAAAGTCGTGCGCTTGAATTCCAAGGCTACCATCGGCATATTTTCCGTGTCACAAATAGGTACGTAAAGTAAATCTTGTTTTCTATTGAATTTAGTTTGGTAACTCCTAATTTTGTTAGAACAAGCTAATCTGATGCAAGTGTCTGTAAATATCGATGACTATGTAAATGTTCATTGCATGAGTGTAGTATCTATGAAATGGGTGAAAGGTTATATTTTTTACTGACAACGATGAACAATATTATTGGACGATATGTTCCGGTAGTGCGGCGGCTCTGACCACATGCAGCTCCTGACTCCGCTATTACTTGTATTTACCTCGGCGGTAATTCCTCTAAAATGGATAGTGCATTTAAAGACAATGGCTTGTGATCAAATCAGCCTCATATAATACTCGATCTTTTACAAATATTGGTTATTGTCTTGCATGCTCTACACAGTCCTGAGATCGCCGTAGAAGTTTAACCTGCAGGATTTTAATAACAAATTTTTCTTCGACATGTCGGCAAGACACAGACGATGCTATGCACCCGACAAAAACGCCAATAAATAATAAAGAAAATAAAGACTAAAATTATTCATGGTAAGTCTATAGCAATGAATCCACAGCTCTCGAGAAGAGGTTCGAACCCGAAGCAAAATATTTTCTGTATATATGAGCAGTTGTTCTGATCTGTACTCATTGAGCTTTGATTGATTACTTTGCCCTTAAAGCTTCAGCTGCGACATGTGACTCATGGCGGCTAAAATAAAGACAACAAAACATACTGTCTGAAAAAACCATCCAACTATTTGATAGCAAAACAATCGTGTACAGGTGTCAAGATTGTTCGTTGACCCACACGTCAACTAAAATTAATGACACCGCATGTCATTATCGAAATATTATAGACATAATGCTCATTACGCAGCATGTTAATGTATAAAAAGTATAGTAATAATGACTAGCATGGTTCATCAACCACCATCATTAATTAAGTCAAAAACCATTAACGATCCAAAGAAATATGGTGAGCGATATTACAGATTATGGTATTAAATTATTAACTTTAGACTCGACTGAATGCAATTTTATGGAGCACGGTTCAGTGGATGCATTATATATATACATATATATTCATGGTTTGAAAGTTGCGTGATAATTCAATTTGTATTTTTCAATATCTCATCCCGTAAAACTGAAAGCGCATCTTGCAAGAATAATATACGTTAAGAAACATTCAAGACTCAGTTTCTATTGTACAGCAACATTCTGCCATAATATTATGACTTTGACTGTCTTCAATATTTTATTATTAAAATCAAACCACATAAAGCTAATGCAGCTTTTCATACAGCAAATCATTTTGAATAATTTGTAAGCAAACAAAACATTACGTAAATTCACTATATCGTCATTGAAATAAATTTGAAGACCTGCTACATCATCAACTCCAGGTTAAATAATACAAGTACAATCAGCATTGAAAATAAATATTAACACATAACAGATTAAAGCCTAAGCAACGAAAAACTGGCTACGCAATAATGAAAACTTATATTCTCTAAGTTTTAAACTGACGGTGGAGTTGATCTTTGAATCGTTATCAATGAATATATGGTGAATTCACTTACGATTTAAGCAGACTAATGATAGGAGAACTTGAAATAATCGTGGTCACGCATGTCAATAATCTGCTGAAATCATGGCGTCAGCTTGTAAATGTCGTTTTCATCGTTGCAGGCTCTCATAAAACGGGTTGCGTGATTTCATGTTTTGTATAATATAGATACGAAATGTAAGTACTAACTCATATTCACTTTTTTCACTTTTCAAATTTCAACAATGATCCTATGCGGCAGAGGGTACAAGTTTATATAAATTTTTCTCATCTGGCTTGTGTTGAAGTGCACCAACTACCGCAGCTCGGTTAAGCAATCCTCCCACGCAACGAGCAAGATATATTGCCAAAAATAAGACTCAAAATTAAATCTTTCCATGTGTCTTTCATTCGTAACATTATAAATGCTATTTCTGAATCTTTCAAAATTATTAAGATAATCTAGAAATATTTCTGATGTTCAAATAAATTATTTAAGCAGTCGGAAAACCACACGGGAAGTAAATTCCCGGCGAATAGTGAGACGGCACTCCATAACCCATTATTATTATCATTATTAGTGTTATTATTATTGGTATTATTATTATTATTATTCATATTATTATTATTAATATTATTATTATTATTCCATGAAACAGTTATCGTGGCATCTGGTTCAAACGAACTTCGAGGGCACGTTTCATATACATAAGCTTAATAGCAAGCGAAAAATAAATCGACACGAGAAAGGATGAAAACTGCTAGAAATAATAAGTCACGCAAGCCAATAATAAGCCCTGCGAAATAGTTCCGTCTTTAGGCGTCGACAAAACATCTGCAATGAAGGAACCAATGTTACGGAAGCTGGGTGACTGTTCCAGATTCTGGCGGAGGCGACCGGGAACGTTCTTTCGTCCACGCTATTGCGCACGAGTTGCGCAGCAGCGTTCATTACGGAATGCAGTTTATAAAGTCTCGCGGTCAGAAGTCAATAGAGTGTGGCATGCACCACGAGGGCCTCGAGAGACAGCGGCTGACGTATTCGTCGCAAAGGGACAAAACAAGCGGTGGTGACTTTGGCTATGTGATTGTGCATGAAAAAATAGAGTCCAGTGGAATACCGAGGTAGTGAACCGATGACGCAGGCTTGGCGATCTTGTTGTCCACGCGAACAGGGTTGGCCTGAATCTGATGCTGGCGCCGAGCAGTCGCACACCAAATTCGGTTTTTGATGAATTGAGCTGGAACCGGTTGGATCGCGCATCCAGTCTGAGACGGTGTCCTTGCAGACAGATATCCGGTCCTGCAGCACTGCGGCTTCAGCCGGTGCGCAGTAGCCATAAATTTAGGTGTCGTCAGCGAGCATATGCGGATTCAAACTATGTTAATCAATTGTGCACAATTCGTCGACAGTATATAATAGAAAGAGGATCGGGCCGAGAACTGATCCCTGGGCATGTCGCAAGTGACCAACGAAGGCGTAGAATAAAGGTTCCCTTGTCGAACGCATTGGAATCTATTGCTGAAATAGGACTCGAACCACAGCAGCACAGTGCCGCGAAGGCCGAATGATACGTCAAGTCGACGCAATAAAGTGGCGTGGTCTACCGTTTCAAACGCGGCCGACAGGTCGAGTAAAGCCAGTGGCGTAATGTTACAGCTGTCTACTGCGCGTAGACTGTCGTAAAGCTCCTTCAGCACAGCGATTTACTTCGAGTGGAGATGACGGTTTGCAGACTGGAGGCGAGGCATGAGACCGGACTGCTGGAGATGGTTGTTCAGCTATCGGGCCACAACTCGTTCCAGTAGTTTCGACAAAATCGATAGGTTGGAAATTATTATTTTTTATCCAGGAGTGTATTATAAACGATCCCTAGAGATATCGATCGTCTTAAACATAAATCGAGTTGATTCAAAGCAATGTAACAAACATTGGTAAACTATTCAAGAATTTTAGGAAATATTTTTCCCGTCTGAGCTGTAACGATGACTCTCGATTTTCCTCAAATCGCAGAAATATTCATGTCTCAATTCAAAATTGTTGAAATTAATTTTCAACAAGTTAGTTTTGCTCAGGATGCATTGATGTTATTATCATTTGAGCACTTCCCAGTAATGATCATCTTGATCAACAATATTCCATCCATCGATTCAAAAATCGCTCTAATTGATAATAAATGAAGTGTGTTTCATGTTCTCTTGTAGAAACAAATGGTATTCGATGTACAAATATGACTTCTGTTCAACCACTCTAGCTCCTTCCCTTCATTCCAGTTCTCATTTCATCCTTTGGTCTTTAAGACGTCTCTGTAACAATTCTTTCCCCACTTACTGTAACTTACTTCAAGTTACTGACAGCTATATGACTCTCAAAACTAAATGCACCACATCTCTGCCATTTACGTAAACGTAGCTATTGATTTCTTGGGTTTTTGTGTTTATTTTTTTTATGTGGTTTACTTAATAAATTTTTACATTTTCTTATGATTTGAATGCAAGTTCAACGTGGAAATATTTGGGCAACAGACAACCAAACATTTTATCCATAACAAAAGGGTCAATCAAAACAACAATCATGCTCATAATATATTGTAATTTATTTCGTCCAAGCTGTGTAAAAGTTCCAATTTCCCATTTTTAAGTTTTCAGAAACTTTTTCAACCTGTCACGAGGAAAAAAAAACAGGTACAGAGGTTTGAAATACGACAACAAGTTACTAATTTTGAAGTGCAAAGAACACTAGGAACATGATGATTTTTGATTATATTCAAGTTTATAATGATTGGTTACATGCCTTTTTATTTTAACTTATATTCAAGCCACATGATCTTAAACCTCTCGAATTCTAACAATTTCATCAAATAGAAATATCTTGACACAAAATATACTGGTACAAAGCGAAATGCTTCACTTCTCCAGAAGTGTTTCAATTTCACTCTTGAATAGAACAATGATTGTTTATATGATTACAAGTAGGATTTTATTAAATTTATTGTTTCGCAAATTACAATAAACTTCTGGTTAGACAATTCTCACTGCACGTGGATGCATTGCCTGGATAAAGTGGTCCCCTACTTATTATTGTGCACCTGTTGTGAACACTTCAAAGCCGCCAATCAGATGAAGGTACGAGGACCAGATTGCGCAGGTCACCCAGACTGGAACATCGCCGTGGTGATGCATTTGAGCTTCCCCAGGAACTGTTTGTGGTGGTTCATGTTATCAACAACAAATAAGTTCATGGCATGAAGTTCTGCTTCAGTTGTAGTGGATAGAAGTGAAAGAATGCTTAGAATTTCAACGATAACTGTACGCAACATTATTCAAAGAAATTTGAGAGAGTTAGAATGATATGCGAATAAGATTCGCAGGTAATCATATATCGCATTGCCATCAGAAAATGGGATTACCAGATCAAAAAAACTTGCTGGATGGTCTGACATTTCGACACGTATTTTCAAAAGAACTATGAATGATTTGCATAAGTTTCCACATATTCATAAATCATATTATCATTCGGCTTTCAAGTTAACATTTGACACAAATTCAGTTCGAAATAATCTTAACTCGTTGTCCTGCTATGAAATGACTATGTGTGCGTCTCTCAAAGGCAATAAAAATTTACCGCGTAGTTGCTGATGGTAGTGCCACAGACCCGCACACCGTTGTCGTACTGATTTTTGCAGAGAGTACCGCGAGCGACGGCGACACCACTGTACCGGTCTAAGATCTTGGCGCCGTCGATAGAGCCATCAGCTTTCAACTGCAAATAAATGGATGAGAGCTATATTCACATTTGCAAAGGTTGTAACTTCATAATATAATTTAATAACTAAGGAAATTGTTTGAAATAGATATCTCTGATGGAACACTAACTACAGCGTTGGTAACATTATGAGCCGTAACGTTCAACACCTCAAATAGTGTCAGCTAATATCCAAAAGGGAGTTCATGACAGATGATGGAAAGGCATTTATGCAATATTTCCTGACTTACGTAACCAAGTTTTCCAGCTACACATTTCATGTAGGGAGCTGCAACGTCATCGCACTTGCCGCCATTGTCCTCCTTGATCTCGTAGTCCCTGCAGGTAGCTTGGGCTGCAAAACACGTAAATGGTTTCTTATTGTTTTAGAACTCTCATGAATATGTGATTGTTCCACTCACTATTTCAAGATACGTCTCTAGATAACACAACTAATTCAAAATACAAGGTATAGAACTGAGTTTTGGAAAAATAATATCAATTGGGTGAATTGCCCATAGATTAGCGCAATGGTAGGAAATTTCAGATCAACCGAATGAAGGTAATTAATCTTACGAGATCTGACCTCTGAGGGCAGTCAAGGCTGCTCTTCCCTTTGGATCCGACTTGCAGGCGCTCAAGGCATCATTGAGGACTTTATCCTCAAATATGGCTTTCGCCACTGAAGATCCACAGTTTGAACTGCTGTAGAGAAATGAATACGAATAAGTACACCAGGCGAGAAACATCATAGGATAAACATTTCCCACTTGAGTCAGGAAAACAAGTAATATCCAAAGCTCTAAATGCAATGATTTAGCAACATTTTCAGCATTAATTTGTAATGGTTGTTTAAAATTAGAGCACACAGCAATATCATCTAATAATTTCGGATATACAGGTGAAGAGGAGTGGAGAGCACAGTGCAAGAATGCAATTGCTGAGTTCACTTACCTTACAACGGGTTTTTTGATGCTTTGGGTCGACTTTCTCTCTTTTACAAGAGACCCCACACCGGAGTAGGCAAAGGTTGCAATGAGAAGAAGGACAAGACCGACAGATTTCATCATGTTGGTAGTCGTAAAGGCGCGGCAAAAGGCTAAGGCAAAATGCGTCGTGAACAGAAGGCTGCTAGATGTCCTGTGACTTGGTACGACACATGGTCTGCCTTTATAGCTTCATGATATTATTGAAACAGTTGGTTTTATTTGTCGATCGTGTGCTTACAGCTGTCTGTCAGAGATCATCCGTCACCACAGCTAGTGCAGCATCTATAGCTCCACTATCAAATGTTGACATTTAGGTTTAACTGTTTGTTAAGAAAATTTAAACTTTCTGGTTGAAAAAATTAAAAATATATAAAATGAAGTGGAAATATAAGCGCCGATGACAAAATTATGTCTAAAATTTGTATTTTTTACATGGAAAGTTATTCGCTAGAAGAACCTCAATGTGCGTTAGAAAAAATTTTTTCATCGTACGTGGAGGTATGATGATGAGAAGACCATGTCCTCGGTGCTCAGCGTTGGTTCAGGTGAAGTTGCGAAGCTCCTAAACAGATGCTCCATATTTGCAAAGACGTCAAGACTGATGATGTGAATGATGAATTTAGATCGCAAATGATCACAATCTGAGTGCGTTCAGCTGAACTTGCACCTCGACATGATCACTGTAAATTATATGGTGTCAGTGGGTAGTGTCAGCATTAATCTTTATAATTCATGAGCTGCCTCATGGCTCGATTCCACATTACAATGTACATTCTAGCATGTGACATTCTGGGTTGCACGCTAGTTACAATCATTACACTCCACGGACTGTCTCGATATTCCTTTAGAAATTACAATATACCTACATTCTATCCTACAAAACTGGATGAGAATTTTGATGGAGTCGTTGGTAGTTAACTGCCAAGGATTACAAAAAATGGCAAGGCAAGTTACATGTTAAATGGTAAGCCAGTTGAGTTAACCAAGTCAATACAGCAAATATGACAGCGAGTAAGAATCGAATGACGCTACGTAATGACACAAAAGTCGCCACTCAGCAGCAACAACAGACTTGTCCATAGAAACGTTTAGGCCAGAGTTACAGTTTTTAGGGTTCTATTGCCTCATGAAAACTAAGAAGCTTTTCCGCTCGCGCTAGAAATTTAAATTGTGGCAACAAGATATTTCAAAACAGGAGTAAAACAGAAATTCTATTTTTTGTACAAAATGTTGGTTTTAAAGAGTCTTTATTTAATTAAAATGCATAGGCTATTTTAGAATCGAGATTAAGGATAATGGGAATGGCGGGATTATAATTCCACAACTAAATAAATTTCCAAGCCCGGGTAATGCTTCGATAACCTTCTAGTTTCCAATAAATGTCTTTTGACTTAAATTTTTGCTAAATTTAGACAATGGACTTCTGTTTTTTGTAGCCTTAACCTGATCCAGAAGGAAACATCAAGTATCAAGTTTTGCACTTCACATATTGCAAACCAGCGTAGAGACGGCAAAAAATTGAGTTTTGTCAGAAAATTGCTTTGTAGAGCGATGTCATTGAGATTCACTGGAATTTTGTGTGCTAGTCAAAAAAGTGCTGGCACCGTTGGAATCAATTCATTAATCGTTGCCCTATCCCATTGCCATATCGTTATTCATAAAAATGTAATTAAGTTTAGTAAGGTTTTTAATCATTTTATCTTATTTAATTTAATTCGGCCGACATAAATACGGGCCTAGCTAACGGTTATCATAAATTCTTTTCGCTCATTAATTACAACAAAAAAATTACAATGCACGAATAGCAAAAAGAGAACTAACACCACTTAAGAAAATCGTGATCTCGAATAACGTCCACCTAAAATTCACGCTCTCTCTACACCCAGTGACCATATATGCCCACGTACCTCGTGTTCAACATGCTCGAAAATATTTATGACAATATTTGTTAATGCATCACAGGCAAGAAGGTGTCATATATTCAACGCAGAATGTCGTTTCAAAACTGTCGAGAAAGAACTTGAGATTTCAATAAAATTCATATATATCAAATATGATTTGTTCATGCGTTTCGCAAGGCTCATATTTTTTCAGTCAGGAAAATACAACAATAATTCAAATTTATACCGAGCTGTGACTTGAAATAAATGAAGAAATAACACTTGATGCAACGAAGCCAAAGCAAAAGCCTGGTTTCCTGACAAAATTTGAGTTATGCTTCAGCCTCCGTTGCAGACTCGCCACTCCCGCTGTCACTCCCACTGTGCCAGAGGAACCCAACAGCGTCGTCTTCATAGAGTGGCCGACATCATCCGAACGACGATAGTTGAAGCTCTCACCTCTGCATTGCACTCCAGCTATCCATCTCATTACCAGCGGATTTCCTGCGCTTTGAGGTTTTTTTTCGGAGATATTTTAACGGTTCCAAATTTTCGTATTGTACCATATTTACACGTATCATGTATACTTATTTCCACCAAAATTTCAGTATTCAATGTTTTCTATAACTTGAAATTGAATGTTGTTACACTCGAAACGTCGTTATTAAATTAAAATTACTTCCTTAAACCTGCATATGTTTACTAATGTTGTTCATAAATTCATTTGGTCATCATACATTTTTCTAGATTATCTCGTGTGGTTCACTTGTGGCTACCTCTATGGAAACGTTAATACTCACAAGGAAGACAGCCCACCTAAGGCCTGAAATTTCGCAAGTTACTTCTCCAGTGTACAAGGCTTCTAAAGAAATGGACGCTGTAATTAAACTATATATCACAAAGAAGTACTCTCTGAAATCTAGAAATTACTTCTTGGAGATTCTTGCGTCGCACCCTTCTGGTCTCCTAGCTTCACTGGATGTCACTAGTTTGTTCACTAATGTACCAACTGAACAGCCCCACCTATATCAAATAAGATCCTAACTGACCTTCTTCGCCTCTATGCCTCGGAATCTCCTTTCTGGACTCCTGATAACAAATTTTACCGACAAATTAACGGCGTTGCCATGGGACTTAGGAATATGCTTAGGAACTTAGGAATATGGATCAGTCTTGGAGTTTATCCATGAAATTGGACAAAATTACAAATTGCCATTCCTATTGGCGCGAATTGAAGATAATTGCTTCATCACTAATGTTTACCGAAAACTTGCCTATATGTATGAAAGTGAATGCCCTTGAAGATAATTGCTTTATCACTAATGTTTACCGAAAACTTGCCTATGTATGAAAGTGAATGCCCTCAGCGCTATAAGACCAGCACTGTACGCGCTCACATACAAAGAGCATTCAAGACCTGCACATCCGAGAGTGATTTTAAATTTGAACTCAGAACTTGTAAACAAATCTAATAATTAATGGGCTTTAAATAGAACTGTTGACACATAAATATCAAGTTATCAATCGAGAAAAAACGGAATCAACAATGAAGCAATATCTAATAAAAGCGTCGCAACAATCTTCTACCAAACAATATCAACATAGGCTACAAAGTAGATGAACAAGTCCTACAGCTAATCATCCATAATGATATCAAGAGTAATATCATAATAATATCAAAATGCAACTTATGATCTACTACAAAAATAAGAAAATTAAAAAATTTCTAATGAATAGGAATCCCTTTTAAAAATCTGGACTGCTTCAAGAAACTAATGTCGTTTATAAATTCCTTTGACCATCAGAAATTTTTCTAGATTATCTTAATAATTTTTGAAAAATACAGCAATAACATCAATAATGTAACGAATGAACGACACTTACATGGAAAGATTTAATTTTGAATCTTATTTTTGGTAGTATATCTTGCTGGTTGCGTGGGAGGATTGCTTAACCGAGCTGCGGTAGTTGGTGCACTTCAACACAAGCCAGATGAGAAAAAATTTTATGAGCTTATACTCGCTGCCGGATCGGATCAATGTTGAAATTTGAAAAGTGAAAAAAGTGAATGAGTGCGTACTTACGTACATCTCGTATCTATATGTATTATACCAAACATGAATTCACGCCACCCGTTTTATGATAGGCGGCAACCATGAAAACGACATTTACAAGCTGACGCCATGGTTTCGGCGGATTATTGGCATGCGTTACCACGATTATTTCAAGTTCTCCTATCATTAGTTGGCTTAAATCGTACGTTAACCAAGAATTTAACGCTAAGAAAACGTCAAGTAAATTCACTATAAATTTACTGATAACGTTTCGGAAACCAACTCCATCATCAGTTTAAAACTTAGAGAATATAAGTTTTCATTGTTGCGTTGTCAGTTTTTCGTTACTTAGGTTTTATCTGTTACATGTTAATTTTGATTTCCAATGCTGATTGTACTTGCATTATTTAATTTTGTGTTGGTGATGTAGCTGGTCTTCAATTTAATTCAATGAAAATATATTGAATTTACGTGATGTTTCATTTGCTTATAAATTTTTTTTAATAATTTGCTGTATGAAAAACTGCATTAACTACATGTGGTTTAATTTTAATTATAACATATTGATGTCAGTCAAAGTCATAATGTTATGGTTGAAGTTGGCTGTACGATAAAAACTGAGTCCTGAATAATGAAATTTGAGTATGTTAATGATTCTTAATGTATATTTTTCTTACAATAAACGCTTCCAGTTTTTACGGCGATAAGAGATTCAAAAAATACAAATTGAAATATCAAGTAACATTCAAACGATGAATATGTATAATGCATTCAATGTCCTATGTTTCCTAAAAATTACTTTCAGTCGAGTCTAAAGTTATTAATTTATAAATGTAATCCTATGATCATTACACCTATTTATTTCGACCAGTAATGGTTTTAAACTTCATTAATGATGACGGTTGATGAACGATGCTAGTCATTCTTACTATGATTTTTAGCTATTGACATGCTCAGTAATGAACTTTAAGTCCATAAATAATGTTTCGATAATGACATGCGGCTTCATTAATTTTGTTTGACGTATGTGTCAACGAACTATCTTGCTCCTGTACACGATTGTTTTGCTATCAAATAGTTTGATGGCAAATAATAAGCAGATAATAAATTTTGTTGTGTTTATTGTAGCAGCCATGAGTCACGTGCTGCAGCTGACGCTCTATGGCCAACGTAATCAATCAAAGCTCAATGACTACAGATCAGAACAACTGCTCATACAGAAGATATTTGCTTCGACTTCGCACCT